ACCGAAGGCACAACGACACAGTGTGCACTCTAATTGGAACTCGGGTCGGGGGGGGGATTTTTACTTTCGCTACTTCTCATGGTCCTGACGAGAAACCAAGTAGAGTGTTGTGAAGCCTGAAGTGATACTAGTCAGTCACTCAGTCAAAGATTGTAGAGTGTAGTGGTCTGTTCTTACAAAGAATACGTGCCAACTCTTGTAAATCATTGGACCCAACGACGAGAAGTAGTGAAGGTGCAAAAAGGTTTCCCTACTGCATCCCTCCCTCCCCCCCCCCAAGCCGAACTTAACGATGAGCGTGACTGCATTGGTTGTTCGACACACAGCAAAACTATAGAGAACATGCTGCTGTTGAGTGAGTTATAAAATACAGTAAATGACCTTTATTGCAGAAGATGATCACCAACGTCACAAAGAACGTGTCCAGACTATTAATGTGCAGCCGAAACAGGAGCAGATATTTGTGAAGACAAGTCGGTTTCCCATGATTCATAAAACAAATGTAGATGTTAGATTCCAGAAGAGCATAATATTTCTCTTGTTACTGTTGTTTTCCTTCAACCTTATGGCACTCTAATTGAAACTGCATGGTCTATATTTATTTCTATGTATATGGCCTTTTTACAGATACTTCAAAACCAATAAGACCGTGAGCGGATCAATGGATGGTCATGGCAATAAAATCACTCCTGTAAATGAGACCACTTCTACACAGGTACTGCTATTAGATTGTCCCATGAGTTCGTGTTCAAATTCGACCTTTTGTTTCGATAATTATTCTTAATTACAACTGTCAATCTACGATAGGGTGACTATCAATACTTGTCACCTCCTGCCGAAATGGAGGCAGGACCCAATTCGTCAAAGGAAAGCGAGGCTATGAGTCGAAATATCATTCGGTCGCTCCTTAGGTCAACGCGGTTGCTGAAGCGAAGTCCGTGAAGATGACTTGCTAACCAGGGAAGTCCGCCAACTTACCATGGAATTTGAATGGAGACCTGGGTAGATCGATAGAGTCTATAAGGTTATTTACAAATATAGATAGCAAAACTGCAACCTGCATTTCACAAGCAACTTATGAGCAGGTAAGTTTGTAATGGTGCAGTAGGGTGGAGGCTTGGTGGTGAGCTGTGAAGCATAAGCGAGGAATCGCATACGTCGAATCGAGTCGTGGTGGTTCAGTGGTAAGGTTCGAGTTCGACGACTCGATTCGACGTATGCGATTCCTCGCTTATGCAGGTCTCCATTCAAAGTTCCATGGTAAGTTGGAGGACTTCAGGAGAAGGTGATAATTCGTAGGCGAAGTATCCAAACTACACCGTGGTGGGTATGGAGCTCAAATCCTAAAGAACGTTGTTAGGGGGGGGGGCGTCGATTTTACCATGTGTGGTTTCGCGTTGTCGTACATTGGGGCCCGTCCAAATGCTAGCCGTAAAGCTGCGTAATTTTGAAAATCTCTCTGAGCTTGCGGCAGTATTGCTCTGCGGTGGTGGCATTTTCCTGAAGAAGTTCCCAGTGAATGACACATAGCCGACTCCACCAAATTGATAGCAACACTTCCAGTGGGTGGAGGCTCTACATCCGGTTTTGGCTTTGCATCTGCACTGACCCGCGGTGGCTACCTGTACTTGACGCAACAGCACCACTTCTCATCTGCAGTAACCATAAGCCAGCCTGACAAAACGACGGCTCCGAGAATTGAGACTGAACGCAACGTCACGTTTGGGGGTTGGGGGAGAAGGGCAAGAGAATCGTAAAATTGCCGGCATGCATTGACGCGGCAATGGACTCAAAGTTTCTTAATCTGCACTACCTTTTGATCATCAAGCATCGAATTTCCTGTAGACAAGAACATGGGGGCACGACGTCGCACGCGACGCCCACTGGCGCGGCGAATTACGGAATTCTCTTGGCCACATACTCCACATCTAAGCGAGCGCTGCTGCGCGGTGAGGTCGTTCGGTACGAGTCGCCCAAACTTGGGAGCTTTTCCCTTTTGGCGTAGATAAGATGCACACTAATTTTGATGATTTTGGGAGTATTACCATTTGCTGTGTTCTCCATATAGACGGGGATTCGCTTTCACTGAGCGCTGTATGGTGGCAGCACTGGTCGCACAAAGAGCATGTTGATCTTCAGCAGGGTACTTGGCCATAGTCGACGGTAGAGAGAGCTGAATGTCACATGGTGAAAACCATAAGGTGCTTTACTTATGTACATTTCATGGGAGGCTCCGTAAGCAGACAGTAATGTCAATTCTCGAAAAATGCCACGAACTTATGGGACAACCTAATAGTTTGGTTTTTTCCTTTACCTCTTGTTAAATTCCTTTCGTTTTAGGCCAACAATGTTCAGAATGGCAATGCCAGGTTGGAGGCGAATTCTACACAACCGGAGAAGGCCGCTAATGTACCACCTTTGAACCTTGACAAAGTAATCAACGAACCATTTTCTTCTTGGGCTCATATAGTTTTTCTTTTCGACCAGAACGCTGGGCTACAAACGAATTTTTGGAAGGGTTGAATTTCTTTGGAAGAGACGTTATTACACTCTTGGGGCAAGGCAGAAACCACATTAGAAATAGTTTTGTTTTTGTTGACATCAGTATCGATTGGCACTTTTCAGCTTTCCGTCACCTCTAACGAAGAGCAGCCGTTAGATCTCTCGTGGCCAGAGACGCCAATGAAACGGCTTATTTATGTGCTTCTAGCACCTATCACATTTCCTCTAGCGGTCACACTCCCAGATGTAAGAAAACCGGTAAGTTATCCGCATTTATCGGATGAACAAGTAGACTTTCACCAAGGAAATTCATGTCAGTTGTAAAAATGAATGCAGAACTAATAAACAGACATTCGGTGTAGCGAAAGCCTGTGCGCGTTGCTTCCTATCATCTACAATGGGTTCGGAGCAGGGCTAAGCGTGTGTGCTGTAAGACAGCCCCCGCGATCAAAGTGGCTCGTGGTCGCCTTTGCTGTGCAAGTAGTCTAGCCTCCAAGCTAGAAGACTGTTCACCTTTCGCGACTCTATTG